AGACAATTCTCTCACACCAGAAGTAACTTGCAGTTTCTCAAGTCGCTCCTGACACAGAAAAAAAAAACTACACAGGCTCACAGTTTCACAACTTCAAGCCACACCTTTGATTCTAAATCTGGAAAAGATGTCACAGAAATACAATTAATAATAATACTGTAACAACAACAACAACACTTTATTTACAGACCACCCTATCTCTGCAGGGGGAATCAACAACAACAACAACAACAACAACAGGACTATGCAGAGTACAACTGAGTCACGAATACTATATCCACTTGCCTGACTAAACCTAATTCAGTTCAACACCATTTACTTTCCAATAGGCATACATAGGACTTCATGGAGGACGCATCTACACTGTAGAATTAATGCAGTTTGACAGTAGCTATGGTTCAAAGCTACTGAACCCTATGAGTTGTAGTTTTACAAATCCTTTCACCTTCTCTGCCAAAGAGTGCTGGACCCAAGCAAGAACACCCATGGTTCCACAGCTTTGATTCATGGCAGTTTACGTGGTGTCAAACTGCATCAATTCTACAGTGTAGATTCACCCTGTGAATCAGATAAAACATACAGAAGCGCATTTAAGCCTTACCATGCAATCCTAGACATATGTAAGTTGGACTGAGTTTAATTCAGCTTAGTTCCAAGTATGAATTGTTTGCGACCCTAGTCACGTTTACTTAAAACTAACTAGGTGACTTCTAAGTAATTACTGCATAAGACTGTATTCCTAATCATGCCAACCTAATGACGCAACTATACACCAAGAATCCTTTATGAAAATCCAATTTTTTTGGTTCAAAATTAGCCTTCATGAAATAGAAGCAGGAATCAATCAGCTTTTCCCAACTATAAACTTGCAGTGCTACAAATCCCACCATTCACACCCAAGGTGGTAATGATGGGAACTGTAGTTTAGAACAGCTGAAAAGCACTCAATTGGAGAAGCAATACCTCTCTTCTCTTCTTGGTATGATCCTGCTGGAATTTATTAGGTGAAAATTGGAATATGAGGATGACCTGGTTGACCCCAAGAAAGTAATGGTTTTCCAATAGCTGATCACACAAAAAGGTTACACAAGCAGGATTAAAAAGCGAAATCTATTCACTCCTTGAAAGACTGAATGCAGAAATGGAAAAGAAAGGGTGATGGAGGATTGATGAGCAAGAAATAAATCCAGAGTCAAGACTGTGGATTCCTATATAAACAAATATGACACTGGGTTGCTGTGAGTTTTCCGGGCTTTATGGCCATGTTCCAGAAGTATTCTTTCCTGACGTTTTGCCCACATCTATGGCAGGCATCCTCAGAGGTTCTGAGGTCTGTTGGAAACTAGTTAAGTAAGGTTTATATATTGGTGGTATGTCCAGGGTGGGAGAAAGAACTCTTGTCTATTTGAGGCATGTGTGAATGTTGCAATTGACCAGCTTGATTAGCATTGAGTGCAGCTTCAAAGCTTGGCTGCTTACTGCCTGGAGGAATCCTTTGTTGGGAGGTGTTAGCTGGCCCTCATGGAATCATGTCTGGAATTCCTCTGTTTTTTGAGTGTTGCTCTTTATTTATTGTCCTGGTTTTAGAGGGTTTTTTTTAATACTGGTAGCCTGATTTTGTTCATTTTCATGGTTTCCTCCTTTCTGTTGAAATTGTCCACACGCTTGTGGATTTCAATGGCTTCGCAGTGTAGTCTATCAATTAGGGCCAGCTAACACCTCCCAACAAAGGATTCCCCAGGCAGGAAGCAGCCAGGTTTTGAAGCTGCAATGCCATTCAATGCTAATCAAGGTAGGCAGTGGCAACATTCACACCTGCCTCAAATAGACAAGAGCTCTTTCTCCCATTGMGGACACTCYGCAGATATATAAACTTCACTTAAATAGTTTCCAACAGACCTCACAACCTCTGAGGATGCCTGTCATAGATGCGGGCAAAACGTCAGGAGAGAATGCTTCTGGAGCACAGCCATACAGTCCAGAAAACTCACAACAACCCAGTGATTCCAGCCATGCAAGACTTTGACAACAAATAGGACAGTCTCTCATAGTATGTAGAATATGAAAAAGAGGAAAGAAGGAATAGCCAGTTTTCTAAAGCAGAGTTTTCTCTCCCAACTCTATTCTGCCCATCCAAAGAGAGAAATGGAACCAGCATCAAACTCAGCATCTTAAGGATCTTTGTGGATTTTGGGGGGCAGTGACAAAGTCCCTTCCTGCCTACAACCTGAAAGCGGTTATTCAAGACCCAGACCACGGAGCAGGAGAGGGAGGTCCCTGTAGATTAGCTGCCGTCTAGTTACCCAACAAACCCCTGCTATTCTTGACACTCCGCCTGAGACAGAGATTCATCATCTTGACACTCAGCTGCCGCCTCAGCCAGGAAGACAGGAGCATGTACACCTGACACATACACACACAGAGAAAGATCCAGGGTGCTTAGTCTGCACTGCCAAAGTGAGGCAGTTTGGCACTACTTGAACTGCCACTCTGGGATCATGGGAGTTGTAGTTTGCTGAGGCAGAGGAGGTTCAAGATCTTGTGAAACTTCAGCTCCTAGGATTGCATATAATGAAGCCAGGGCAGTTCAAGTGGTGTCAAACTGGGTTCATGCCACTGTGCAGATGCATCCCTAGGCACACTTTCCCAGCACAGTTTAGAGAATCTAAGGAAAGGCTGGAACATTGGAAAGGGGCCAAAGGAGAGAGGGAAAACCACATGGGATCCCGCCAAGAACTATATAAAAAGATGTTATTAAATAGGTATGTTTCAATGGTTTGATGTTTCCATCTGTGTCTTTTGACTATATTGTGCGTCAACCTGGAGCCTTGAGGTGAGTAACAGAAATCACCATAATAATTTATTATTATTATTATTATCATCATCATCATCATATCAGGAGCGACTATCACCAAATATTCATGTTGTTGTTGTTGTATTTATTATATTATTGTTATTGTTGTTCTTGTTGTTATTGCACAAACATAGGAGGGCAAAGTAGTCAGAAATGCTATGGAAGCATCTCTGAAAGGCACCGATTATTACTGTCATGTCAGGAGCTACCATCACCAATATATTATTATTATTATTATTATTATTATTATTATTATTATTGTATTATTATACTATTGTTGTTGTTATTGTTTTTGTTGTTATTACACAAGCATAGGGGGCAAAGTGAGGTCAGAAATGCCATGGAAACATCTCCAAAAGGCACCCATTTGAGTTGCTGTGAGTTTTCCGGGGTGTCTGGCCATATTCCAGAAGCATTCTCTCCTGAAATTTTGCCCACATCTATGGCAGGCATCCTCAGAGGTTATGAGTTCTATTGGAAAACTAGTTGAGTAGGGTTTATATATCTGTGAAATGTCCAGAGTGGGAGAAAGAACTCTTATCTGTTTGAGGCAGATGTGAATGTTGCAATTGCCACCTTGATTAGCATTTTATGGCCTTACAGCTTCAAAGCCTGGCAGGTTGCTGCCTGGGGGGAATCCTTTGTTGGGAGGTGTCAGCTGACCCTGCTTGATTCATGTCTTTTTTCAGAGTGTCCTGATTTTAGATGTTTTTTAAATACTGGTAGCCAGATTTTGTTCATTTTCATGATTTTCTCCTTTCTGTTGAAACTGTTCACATGCTTATGGATTTCAATGGCTTCTCTGTGTAGTCTATCACTCAGAGCCAGCTAACACCTCCCAGGAAAGGATTCCCCAGGCAGTAAGCAGCCAAACCTTGAAGCTGCAAGACTATTCAATACTAAACATGGTGGCCAATGGAAACATTCATGCTTGCCTCAAGCAGACAAGAGTTCTTTCTCCAACCCTGGGCATTCCACTGATATAAAAACACTCCACTTGCTTGCCTAGTTTTCAACAAACCTCACAACCTCTGAGGGTGCCTGTCATAGATGTGGGTGGCACGTCAGGAGAAAATGCTTCTGGTGCTGAAAACTCACAGCAACCCAGTGATTCCGGCCATGAAAGCCTTCGACAACACATAGGCACCAATTTGGCAGAGAAGTCCTAAGTGCGCTCCAGATCCAAGTGTCTCCTTGGATAAATTAATAATAGTAACAACAACAACAACAACAACAACCATAATGTGATCCTCGTGAGCCTATTGCTCTCGCTCGCGCGCCAAAGGAACTCCCAGGGAATTCCTTCCCGTCCCTCAATCCGTTCCGGGATCGTTCCGCTTCAATTTCACCCACTCCGGGAAGAAGTTGCTCCCAAGGAAGCGGACCCTACGGTTGGTCTCACGCTTCCCGCTAACGCAACTACTAACGCCGCGGCGTTACTCGTTCTTGAGGCGAAAGACGAGAAAGCTGCGCCCGCCGCAAACTTCTTCTTCTTCTTCCCGTCGGGATTTGGAGGATGGAGGAGAGGGGAAGGCAACTGGAGTTAGGAAAAGAGGGGAATCCCTAAGGGTGTGCTTCTCTATCTAGACCGCGGAAGGAATGCCGTGGGATGGGCCCCCCTTGGACTGCCCGGGCTCCATGCAGGGGGAATCGTGCGAGTTGCAGTTCGACCACAGAGAGTCCCCCAAAGTACAAACCCCGGGATTTGAATGCCGAGCCTGGAGCCCCGGCCGGGACTGAACCGCGTGAAGTCTTCAAGATAGAACGGTGTAGACAAGGCAGAGGAACGAGCCCTCCCGAGGTGGAGTTCAGAAGCAGGAAAGGAACGAGACCGGGAGGCTTGAGCGATGCCAATGCAGAGGAACGAAGGAGTTTGGGCTTGAAGGAATTCTCCCGAAAGGTTTGGGGCAGGAAGGGACTGGGAAACGGGGCTCCCTCCCAAGAAAGAAAGAAAACGAGATGCTGGAGGCACGGAAGGAAGGGAAGGAAGAGGGTTTGGGGAAAGGGAAGAAGGGCAGGAGCCTGGGGTTTCCCTTCTCCTCCTCCTCCTCATCCATCCCAGGCAAAGGAAGCGGAGCCAGGAGGAGGAAGAGGCGGCGGCGGCGGCGGCAGAGGAAGGCGAAAGAAGAGGAGGAGAGGCACTCACCGGCCGGGGCTGGCTCTGGCCGAAGGAAAGCAGCGGCGGAGGCTGGCGGAGATTGGGCGGCATCCGCGCACCCCATCGCCCGGCTCCCGTCTGCGCCTCCGGGGCTTGCGCTTCGGCGAGGAAGGGAAGGGAGGGAGGGAAGGGGAGCCCGGCGCAAGGGAGGAGGAGGAGGAGGAGGAGGGCGCCATCTGCTGCACGGAGCCGACGAGCCATTGGCTGCTGCTGCCGCGCCAGGGCCCGACCCACTCGCGGGAGGGAGCGGGAGGACACCCCCCCCCGCCCAGCGGCGGAGGAGGAGGAGGGAAAAGAAGAAGGAAGAAGGAAAAGGAGAGAAGGAAAGAGGATGAGGAATGAGAAGAAGAGGAAGAAGGAGGAGGAATGAGAAGAAGAAGTGGAAGAAGGAGAGGAGGAAGGGGAAGGAGGAGAAGGAAGAAGGAGGAGAAGAGGAGGAAGAAGGAGGAAGAGGAAGGAGAAGAATATTGTGTCCAATTTGGGCACCACAATTGAAGAGAGATATTGACAAGCTGGAATGTGTCCAGAGGAGGGCGACTAAAATGATCAAGGGTCTGGAGAACAAGCCCTATGAGGAGCAGCTTAAAGAGCTGGGCATGTTTAGCCTGAAGAAGAGAAGGCTGAGAGGAGATATGATAGCCATGTATAAATATGTGAGAGGAAGTCATAGGGAGGAGGGAGCAAGCTTGTTTTCTGCTTCCCTGGAGACTAGGACACGGAACAATGGCTTCAAACTACAAGAGAGGAGATTCCATCTGAACATGAGGAAGAACTTCCTGACTGTGAGAGCCATTCAGCAGTGGAACTCTCTGCCCCCGAGTGTGGTGATGGCTCCTTCTTTGGAAGTTTTTAAATAGAGGCTGGATGGCCATCTGTCAGGGGTGCTTTGAATGCCATTTTCCTGCTTCATGGCAGGGGATTGGACTGGGTGGCCCATGAGGTCTCTTCCAACTCTATGATTCTATGAGGAGGAAGAGGAGGAGGAGGAAGGAGAAGAAGAGGAATAAGGGAAATAAGGAGAAGGAGACGAAGAAGAGGAGGAGGAGTCTCCCAGCCCCCGACTCCACTGGACGGATGGCGGCAGGGAGCCCCACCGGAACTGGAAGGAGTGGCGCAGGCGTTCCCACACCACAAGGAAGTTAAGGCAGGAGTCCCGCAAGGTGCTCCTCCTGGACGGCTCATCCCCAGGCCTCCTCCCTCGGGTTGAAAGTTAACCAGACTCACTCTAGAACTTGAGCAGATCCCAGCCTAGTTTGCAAAGCCGCCTGACAAGAGAGAGGACAAGTTGGGTGCAAAATCAGTCGCCAAATTGGGTGGCAACATTATCTCTCGACCCCCCCCCCCCCCCACACACACACACACACAAATCTCTCATTCTCCCTCTCCCCATCTCTCCCTCCATCTCTCATCCCTGTATCTCCTTCTCCCCATCTCTTCCGTCTTCATATTTCCCTCTCCCAATCTCTCCATCCCTCTCCCTTTCCATCTCTCCCTCTTCCCATCTCTCTCTTCTTCTCCCTTCTCTCTCCCTCTACTATCTCCCTACTATCTCCCTCTCTCATCTCTCTCTCCCTTCCCATCACTCTATCTTCCTCTTCCCCATCTCTCTCTCCCATTTCTCTCTCCTCCTCTCATCTTTCTACCACTCTTCCCCTCTCCCTATCCGCATCCCTCTCTCTCCTTTCCCATCTCTCTCTCTCCCCAGCTCTCTGTCCATCTCTGCCTCTCCCTTCCAGTGCCTCTCCCTCTTTCCCATCTCTCTCTCATTCTCCCTTTCCCTCTTATCTCTCGCCATCTTTCTCTCCCTTCCCCTCTCTCTCCCCATCTCTCTCCCAATCTCTCTCTCCATCTCTCTCTCCCTTCCCATCCATCTCCCTCTTCCCCATCTCCTTCTCTCCAACTCTCACTCCATCTCTCTCTCCCCATTTCTTTCTCTTTTTCCCATATCTCTCTCCCCATCTCCCTCTCCTTTCTTAACTTTCTCCCCCTTTCTCATCTATTTCTTCCCATCTCTCATTTTTCCATCTCTTATCCTCTCCCCATGTCTTTCTCCCCTTCCCCATCTCCCTCACCCTATTTCTGTCTCATCTCTCACCTCTCTTCCTCTTCCCCATCTCTGACCCTCTCCCATCTCTCTCTCCCTTTCCATCTCTCTATCTCCCTCTTCCCCACCTCCTTCTCATCTCTCTCACCCCATATCTCCCCATTTCTAGCCCCCTGTTTCCCATCACTCTCTCCCCATCTCTCTTTCCAATCTCTCCCTCTCCCCATTTCTCTCTCCATCTCTATCTCCCTTCCCACCTCTCTATCTCCCACTTTCTCCCCTCCCTCTCTCAATCTGTCTCTCCCCATCTCTCTCTCCCTCATTACCATCTCTCTCTCCCTTTCACTCTCTTATCTCCATCTCTTTCTCTCTCCATCTCTCCCTCTCCATCTCCCTCTCTTATCTCTCCCCATTTTGCTCTCTCTCTCCCTTCCCATCTCGCACCTCCTTTCCCCATCATATAAAGCAAGTAAGTGAACAGGGACGCTGAGGAGGAGGATGCCCTAGAGAAGTTCTCCAATTGCAATTCCCATCACTTCAAAGAATTGCAGACTTGTGATCCGACCCCCTGCCCTTCAGATATTGCTTGACTGCTGCAGAGAGCTACAGTCCAACAACATCTGGAGGGCCTCAGGGTTCCCTTCCAGCATCTCTTCCTGCATCTCCCTTGCTCAGTTGTCTCTTCCACAGCAGAGGACTGGCTGCTGGCTCCCAATCTTCTGTTACGCAGACTCATAGAGACAAAAGGTAACCTGATAGTAGTTTTAATTGGCCCTGCACTCGCTCTGGGTTGTCCTTGAGCCAATTAGGGTCTAAATAGGGTCTAAATACATAATGGGGTCTAAAAGCACCATATCTTGTCAGATTTTGAAAGTAGCGTGGTCAGCTCTGACTAGTACTTGATTGAGAGGCTGCCAAGAATACCAGGTGCTTAGACTTTATTTTAGAAGAAATGATAAAACATCTCTGAGGATTAGTCGTGTAAGAAAATCTTATGAAATTCATGGGATCACTGTGAATCAAAAGGGAACCTGAAGGCACATACATAGTCACATATGCACTCACCCTAAACACACCAGATTCTGTCTGATCATGGAAACTGAACATCATCAACCGTGGTTCATGCTTGGTCGGGAGATTGCTGACAGATACCAAGACTGTATTTCAGAGGCAAAGACATCCCTTGAGTATTCCTTGCCTAAGAAAACTCTATAAAATTCATGGTGTCACCATAAGTCAATAGGCAACTTGAAGGCACACGTACACTACTATCTGGAGAGACTTAGCAGAGTCTTCCCATTGGGAGATAACTGGTAATTCCTAATAACAACCAGGGATCCCCAAACTGTTTTCCAGGGTTCTTAACACTTGTAGGGAAATTACTCTTAATTTTGCTTACTTGCAGGAGTATTTTAAAGAAAAAGCAAATGAAAACATAATGCATTGCATTTTTTTAAAAATCACCAACATATTCTGGTAGCTATCAAACAATGGCAAAATGACAAAAGAATGTTACGAAGCTGAAAAAAGAATCCACAATGGATATAATCAGCTGTGAAAAAAGGATGAGATCTTAGTTAAGTGAATGCAAAGGTCTTTTATGACATCCATCTCTTCATTTAACTACTTTAAGAGCAAAAGCTGTGGAGGTTATGTTGGAAGATACAGCATCTCAAAAGAAAATGCAATAATGTATATCTACCAAGCTTGACGTGTAGAGAATTGGACATAGGGCACTGTCAGGGAGAAGGCAAATTGCTTTTCCCATTGATTATCATTGAAACATCCTTACATATGAAGAGCATTGCAAGTACAATATGTACTTATAAGTTCCTTTCATGGAATGGATGTCACACTTTTTTTTCAAGCTTGCTCATTTAGTGCATTTTTGTCTGATGATTCCTGACAAGGCTCAAGTCCACTTTGTCTGATCATTTAAGGGAAAGGGGCTCAGCCCACCAGCCAAATGTTTTGGAGTTGTAGTTCACCTACATTGAGAGAGCACTATGGACTCAAACAATGGTGGATCTGGACCAAACTTGGCACAAATACTCAATATGCCCAAATGTGAACACTGGTGGAGTTTGGGGAAATGAGAATTGACCTCTTTGCCTTTGACCCTGAGCTTCATCAGGATAATCATCCTAGAGCTACTATGTCCATGTCCTTTCCTGTGCTGCATGCAGGAGACCTATTGCACCTCTTACATGACTGAATGGGCAGCTGGTCCATCACTCACTTGCTCATTTCCAAGCTACAAGATTCTTGCTCTCTAAACCAGAAGTTTTGTCATTGTGTGCCTTCATGTCAAGAAAACCCATGCCCAAATGTGAACACTGGTGGACTTTGGGGAAAATAGACCTTGACACGTGAGAGTTGTAGTTGCTAGGATTTATAGTTCACCTACAATCAAAGAGCACTCTGAACTCCACCAACAATAGAATTGGACTAAACTTTCCTCACAGAACCCCCATGACCAACCGAAAATACTGTGTTTTCTGATGGTCTTTGGCGACTCCTTTGACACACACCCCCTCACAACCCCCCCCCCCAAGGGTCCCAACCCCCAGGTTGAGGAACACTGTACTAGAGCATGGATCCACTTTAAATCCAGTTCTGGGGTTTGTAGTTTAGTGAGGCTCAGGACCTGTCTGCCTGAGCATTTTAAAGGCTCCTCCCCTAAACTACAAGCCCTAGAATTCTGCAGGAGGCAGCAACCAGATTTAAAGTGAATCCACGCCATAGTGTGATATGGTCCTTCAACCACTATTGTAGACTATCCTAGGTCAGAGGGCTGAACAGCAACATGCTTTAAATATGCAGCTGAGAAAGACACCATTCTTATATATGTAAGGCTCCAACATGGATTGGGACTACCAATTGTGAGTAAGACAACTGAAACCTCTTCTCCCACACTCATTGCTTCATGTTTTCTTAAATCACTCCGTGGTGCAAGCAAAAGGTAAAAAAAGACATTTTAGCTTCATATGTCAATGATAAGAATGTTAGGAAATGAGCAGAGGTTTAAACGGGGGTACTGGTTTGATCTGGTCTGGAGCTTTGCCTGCTTTTA